AAAAATTTAGCAATGCAGTACCTAATCAACCATATTTTATACAGCGTGAGTGAAGACAGTTTTCCTGTTCTCTTTAAGCAGTGGAGTAGATCTTCAGCAGGGTCAAGATTATTAGAGGAATGTGTCTCAATTGCCCAAAATAGCTCTACTTAGAACTGGAAAGTTCACACTACAGAAGCAATGCCATTGCTGTGCTATTTCTTTTTCAAAAGAAAAATCCATTTGTCACACAGAGCTCTCCAGAGATTTGTCACCATTTACTAGGCTACCGTCCAAAAACTGTCAAGACTGACCCAGCCAATTTCCAGGGTCACACAGTCATTGCTTTTATCACTTATGAAAACAGAAGACAATTTTAGTTCCCAAAACACAGTGCAAAATAAATGATCCTAGGACCATTCTTACTGTTGACAATATGATTCCAAGTCCTTATTAAAAGGGAAAATAGATAATGAGATCTGTTTTCTTTAGCATCAGTGTCGCTCCCTGGAAGCTGTGTATTTCAGGAGGACAAATCAGTACTTTAAGTTCAACAGGGTACTTTCCAGTGCATGATCTCTTTACTATAAGTGCATTCATTTATGCAATCTTTATTTCATTAATTTTTCTTTTACATTTATTCATTAAATATTTATAATGAATTTATTTAATGAATTTATGCCTATTATTTCCTTTAAAAAATATTTATTAAACACCAACAAGGTGCCGGGCATGTTGCTAAGCCCTGGGAATATAACACCATCCTAAACACATTAGGTCTGGTTTCACAAGCCATGTCTCCTGGAGTGCAAACAGAAGGTGCCAATAATAGGGAAAAAATGCTGTTTGGCTGGCCCTTCCTCCTCTCTGTATCAAGACCTCATTCGGGTTTCTGTCTAACTATTTGTGGTAGATCCAGGGAATGTCTCCTATGTGTCCTTGAGCCCAGTCCTCCTAACTCTCATTTTTCTCCTTTTTTCTCTAGTTCTCTATGCTAGGTCTTCTAAAAAGTATCTACCAGTGGCTGACCACAGAATTGTTCTTTCTAAGTCTTCATGTGAAGCCTGCAGATCCTTTTGCTTATTTATCAAAATGTGGTTATCCTCACAAGGGGATATTGCATTACACACTGGCACAAAGGTGTTTGCAGTCATCAAAATTAATCTATTGGAGCAATGTTCTTTCAGTAGAATTTATTTCCCTTCTTTATGTACAACTAAAACATATATGGTTTCACCATGGTGTTGACCCATGACACTTATTATTTATGTAGACTAGTCTCCTAGTTATTTTCTCTACACACTAGTCATTAGCTGATCAGTGCATAAGACTTAACAGTCATATAGAGAGAGATAGATACATAACATGATAGTATCCAGCTAGACGAATTGGTGTTTCCCATGTGTCAGTGAGTTTTCTTGGAGAAATACTGGGCAGCGTTTTAGCAAACTCTTCCTCTTTTCCTAGAATTCAAACTACTAACATCTCACCTGAACCCCTTAAACTTTTTATACTTATTAGAAAGGGGCAAAGACAATCTGTATTAGTCAGATTTCCATGACAGAAGCAGAAGCCATTTGGAGTCATTTTAAACAAAGAAAATTTTTATTCTGCAATTTAAATGCTTCCAAAAACTCTGAAAGGGCTGATGGAGCAGACTCTAGACTGTACTCCTCTGGGACTTGCAGAGCCAGACAGAACTGCTTCCCTAGGGCAGCGACTGCTTCTAACACTGCTCCTGGAGCTCTGACAGAGGCAATAAATTTCCAGTGCTGCCTGCAAATGGGAAACGAATACTGCTTCTGAAAAGATCTTACATACCAGCAACAGGAGCCAGGAGCTGCCAGACTTTAGCATCTCCCTATCTACTGCCTTCTGACATCTGTCCTGAGGACTTCTAATTGGCTGAAACTTGTTTGCCTCAAAAATGATAGCTGCAGAGTTCGGGAAATGGAAAATTTTGCTTTATAACCCCTCCAAGTAAAAAATAGAGCAGTAGGAGTTCCAATTCAGAAATATGTATTAAAATCAATTCCCTTTTGTCAGTAAAGTACTTCTCGTCATTAACTGAGAGTGGGGAGAGAGCCACAATAGTAGCAACTTAGAAAAGCAAAAGCAATGTGTCTAGAAGACTTGGGTATATTTTCTAGCTCTGGTATTTGTGGACATGAGCAGGTCATTTTCCTCCTCTGAGCCTCAGTTTCCACATTTGATAAGAGCATCCAGGCTACCTCATAGGATAATCATGAGGATAATGTTAGACACAAATGTAAAAACACTTCATAAATATCAGATTCTAAGCAAATGCAAGCAGATCTGATCAGTGAGAATGATTCAAGAAAAATTAAATGAGTTCACGTCTATTACTGTTAGTGTGTTGGTGCTAAACAGATTTAATTTTATTCTAGTTTTTGGAAAGAGATGACCCTACTTTTATATAGTCGGTAAATTATCACATTATCTCATTTTCCAATCAACTGGCAATTTAATGTAACTGGGAAACTAGATCAAGAGACATTCCCCTGTAAATACTTGTGGTGTCATGTCATATTATGATATCATAGAACTCCTAGATCCTGTAAGAGACATTGTTTTAATAAATAATAAAAGCCATGTTGGGTTACTTTACTTTGTCATTTCTGAGTCTAATTTTATAGTCTCAAATGCTTCCTACAGTCACATTAGAAAGTATTTCAGATTTTGTAATTTTTGTGATCTTGTGTAAATATTTATTTAGTTCACCTTTTGGTTGACCGAATCACTGTGAAGTTTGAAGCTCCAGACAGTAAAGAATGACAGTTTCTACAGCAAGCCCCTTGATAACAGAAAAAGAGCT